TCCTATCGCCTTCACTTTTATTTTTCAGGTCGCAATTTTATTCTTTTCAACTGAACACTGCTGCGATATTCTTCTTTTATGCATTATTTGTCTTGAAATTGGTGGACATGTACTCTGAAGGAGCTGCTTATAAGCTTCCATGGTGTAGAGTAACTCCAGAGATGTGTTTCGAATGCGCCACGAATACTGGATACAAGACCAGTGTCTTTCATCAGAAGCTTTATGTGTAAAACTCCTAGGTCAGAGGCGGACAGTTGTCTTAATTCACTGCACCAGCCCTGTAATGCCGCCGGCTTCATGTGGCGCAGTGGCGGATGTATAGGCTGCACCACGGTGGGCATATTTCCATTAGCCAGCTTGTAAACACAGTGGAAGACAGTCAAAGCAATGCTCAAAATGAAGACTATGCCCACACGCGTTTCTGAGTACGTGTAACCTACTACTTTTCGAAGTCAAAATTTTAACCCCAGCCTTTTCTCGATGTGCCAAAACACATTTGATGAGGGTACAGTTGAGTAATTCTTCTTTTGAATGATCCTTTGAAGTATTACCAGTTTTCAGCGGAGCACCCAGAATTTGTCATTGTGGGTTTTGACCGGAAGTGACCCCCTAAACATTCAATGCGTTATGTGTTTTTCCTTCAATGTTAGTTTGCTCAACCACGCAAAGAGCAGTGTACTCCACAAACGTAACAGTCACCTGGTCTCCACTACCTTGTGCGGATCATTACGATGTGGAATATGCACTGAGCCATAAAGATGGTTGCGAACAGATCAACTCACTGATGTACATCTATGACCAACACTGCACATGTCAGGAAAGTCAAACCACTATAAATGGTTTGATACCAAACTCCCAGTACGTTGTACAAATCAAGGCCTATGTCAGCAGTGCTTATGGACCACCGGCAACGACACAGATCACTACCACCTCCATAGGTAAGTCATATAAAGCCTTGACCTAGTTTCAATTACATTAATTTAGAATGTTTAACTGCTTAAGCTGTTGTGGTTGTGTTTAAGGACCAGTGCCAACAAAAACAATTACAAATATTAACTGATTGCCTTTGTAACCGGCTTTCACCCTCATTCAGATTGGGGTTTTTATATAATAGTGAAGGTAAATTGTAAATTAGACATGCCCTAGGGTGCATTCAAGAAGCGGGTTTGTTTCATAATCATTCAATTTGCATGCAATCTCTCTGGGAATTTATGTCATATTGCAGCACCGACTGGCCCACCCACAATGGTGACGACTGAAGCTACTGGCCAACGCAACCTCACTTTCACCTGGGGTCCTCCATCGTGTGGAGACCGAGGCGGTATCATCACGGAATACGTTTATGAGCTGAGTAACCCAAATACTGGATGGAACACTTCTGCACCTGTATCTGTTGAGAAAGTTACAATAAATGAACTTCTCCCATTCACAAATTATACTTTCCGAGTAACCGCAAAGAACAGCGTCGGGAATGGCCCGTTCAGTGAAGCAGTAACTGCGAGGACTTTGGAAGCAGGTGAAGTTTAATAGTTCGTTTTACAGCTTATCTTTCCTTAAAAAACTAT